AGGAATGGCAGACTATTTAGTTCAGAAAACTTCAGATTTGCATTAAGAGAAGCTAATGCCGAGAAAGCTAATGATATTTCTACAAATCTGTGATTTTTGCAGCTCTAATTCAAATCCCATGCCACATCTTTGTTCCTTCCTTTTTACTTTCCACCTGCGATGCACAATGTATATTGCTAAGTGGCTTCATATTAAAAGCATCTTCTCCAATTTACCTATTTACATGTCTAGCAATTTCTCCTCCATGGTTTGTTAGGAACAGAGCCTTTTGTTTATATTTATGTATAAAATGGAAGCACAATCTTAAGCCAACTTGATTATGAATGAATATCCTTGTCAGCTACAAACAGATGTATGTCCAAACACATAGAAGGCAGAAATGAATCTTCACAATTTAAGGGCTTCAAAGTCAGGAAATTTTTACCACCTATATCTAATTTCAAGCTCTGTTCAGCAAAGTGACAGCTGAGAAAAGACAGTTACCAATCACTTCAGAGTCTATCTCAGCTGCTGCACTACTACAAGCATGAAGTCTCAAACTTTACAAGCTACCTGAGCAGAATCCAGAAGATTCTAATCAATCAACAGCAGAGAAATAATAAAATTATACCATCATTATATCTAATACAATGATCCTTCCTGGACCTGAAAAAGCTTTGTGAATTAGACCCAGTGGTCAAAATGAAATAAAGGAGATTTATCCAAGATTTACAGAAAGACTAGTGATAGAGAAACACAAGAGATACACTGAAGGCACCAATTCAGCTCTATACAAAAGGCACTTTAAAGTATAGCTCACCAATGTGTTTTCTAGTTTGAAAAAAATAATGATTTGTCCAATGCAGAGAGGAACATCCACAAAGCACCAAGTCACTGAGGGGCACTGCTTCCTGATGACTGCCTGCACATCCCCACAGCAAACACCCATCATTCCAGGCAGCCTATCCTTGAATCTACCTACCTTGTGGTACCAAACCTCCACTGCAGACACCTCGCTAGGCCCTGGACACAAACATATTTCTGATTTACCAAATAAAGGATAGTAAGACTGCAGCACCTTGACAGGGACGTGTAGAGAGGTGGGGGATGTCTCTCCTGCCATGGCTGCAGGGAGAGGACTAGAGGGAATGGACATAAACTGAGACAGGAGAGAGTCAGATTAGACATTAGGATGTTTTCCCTGTTAGGGTGTTCAGGCACTGGAATAGATTGCCCATTCACTTCACCATCCCTGGAAGTGTTTAAGGGGTGTCTGCATCTGACACTGGAGGATCTGGTTTAGGGTTTAGGGGTTACAGCAGTGACAGGTTAATGGTTGGACTTGATGATCTTAGAGGTCTCCTCCAACCTTGATGATTCTAAATAAAAAGCCTTTTAAAACCTGTTTGTTCTGTCTCAAATACTGCTAATATACAAAGACAGTAGGAATCTAGTAATTAGCAAGTCATTCTAAAGGAGAGAATGTTGAGAATTAAAGCAAGTTACTATGATCACTTCCCCATTATATCGCCAAACACAGTCTGGGCTACACTTCAAATCAAGAGCAAAGCTTTCCACTTTATGATTTTACTTAAAACAGCTGCTGCAAAGCCACAAATGGACCATGCAGGCCAAAATAAAATCCTATGGTTTTTGAAACCACCTTTGGATTTTCTGAATTCACCTCTGAATTTACATCCAAAATTCTAATTTACTTCTTTGTTATTGATAAAAAAAACCCCAAACAACAACTTTACCAGGACTGAACATATTTTTTGCACAGGTTAAAAATATCTGTTCCTACCTCCACTTTCGTTCTGTAGAGGATGAGACGCTTTAGGCTGCTCACTTTGGCTATGTGGTTGAAAGCCTGAGGTGGTATTTTATCACATGATGATAGATTTAATTCCTGAAGATTTGGACACATTTCAGTAATGACCTCCAAGCATGTTTCATTGAGGAAATGGCCACAAGACAACTCCAGACGTACTAGTTCAGAGCCACAAACTTTCAAGAACCTGTAAAAAACACACATTTTAAGAGAAAAATAAACAGACTTTTAGGTGAGAGTCTGAATACTCTCAAAACCCTAAGCATGCAAACCAGGAAATAGTTCAAAGAAAAGCCATTAGTCTTGAAAATTCTGTTCTGGTTTAGAAAGTTGGAACATGCTCTGTTCTTACCATGTAGTCTGAAACAATGGAGCAAAGTAAACCACCAATGATGCTTAAAATGCTTTTAAACCTTCCAAACCCAATTTTGACAATGGCCTGCAAGTTTCCACCAATAATTTGATACTTCTCTCAGATAAAGATGCAAATGTAAAAACCTGATTAAACAAATACTTTTAAATGGGTCAAACATTCAGAAGTGTTTGAAGACTTTCAGGGAAAAAAAAACCATTTAATTCCTTTCATTAACATGTCAAAATCAACACTAGGTACCTGTTCTACAACACAGGAATTCCTGAGGGTTATTTTGCTTGAAATTATAAAAAATGAAGGTATCAGATGACAAAAGACCTGGAATTTAGAAGCTTTGATGGTTTCTACATGAATTACACTTTCTCTCAGAGATCTTGGGTCAGAAACTCAAGCTCTATTACATCTAATCCAAACATTAACTAAAACTACATAAGTTTATGTCCCTTTCTAAGGCAAAGATAACCTTCAAACCGTAAATCAATCACTAGGCTTTAAGTTTGACATTTAATAGGACAAAAAAACCCCACATATTTGCTATGCTTTTGTTATACTTTAATAGTTTCTCCAGTAAAAAAGTTCTTAAGCTCTGGGCTGCAATGAGTTTCCCATGTTACTTCCTCAAATAATGTTGCTACTTGTGAAAAGAGCAAATTAGTTTCCCATAATAAATATTCTGATCTGCTCTATTACCAATTCTATCCTAAAAAACACCTTCATGCAGACAAAGCAGCTTCAGGTTCTGACCTTTCCACCACAAAGTTAGCATGACTTCTGGGGTTTAACTGACAGAACAGAGATGTCAGACAGACACAAGGCTTTTTATGTATGAGAACTCCTGCTACTGCAACTGAAGACTTCCCAAGCATTTGCTTCTGCTGAATCTCAGGATGAAATAGCTGCTGGTCCTAGAAGTGGACACATTCAGGGAGGCATTCCTCAATGACACTAACAGCAGCAAAGCACCTGAAGTCCCACCTGCAAGATCCAAGTTTTCAAACCTTCTCCTTTCCTTGTTTTTCCATTACTCACTTAAGTCATACTTGCCATTCATCATCACCTCTCATGTTGCAAATTGCATGGCCTTAATCTGATTAGGCAAATCCCATGTAATATATAGGGAAAAGGAGATTCCAGGGTGGCATCTCCATCCCTGGATGTCTCTGAGAGCCACCTGAAACCTTGACTGACTCGATCTTGTGCTGGGGACACTGACATGTCAAGTTAGAGCTTGGAGGGGACAACCTGCAGAGGTCCCTAACATCCAACATTTCTGTGAGCCTATGCAAACAAACAGAGAGGGGCTGAGATGTCAAAGGGGAGACACACCCCAGAGCCACAGGAGATTGGCCATGTATGGTCTTCAAATCTACTCTTCCACTGCTTTTGCCTAACTCTGCAGTCTGACTTTAGAATCTATTTTAGCTTGCAAAAATCAGAGTTGAATTGAATACCAAGCACTTATTTGCTGTTTCTATACTGGATACAGTGAATTCACCTAGACTGGTAAACGTTCCTATGGGAGTGTCAGAACTGAAATGACACAACAACTCACAACAACTAACATTGGGTATTTAAACATTAAACTGCTATTTTAGTCTAGCACCAGAGTTCAACACTGCCATGGAGAAATGCAGGATGGAAATCCCCTGAAAAATCAGAGTAGATACATATGGATACATTGCTGGTTACCAATTAGCCAATTCCTGTTTAATGAGTGCTTTAACAATACATTCACTCATCTTCTTTCATCAACAAATTACCAGGTTTGTTTGAATGGTGGTATTTCCCACAAAACCTTGTCAGTTGCCACTTACTATACCTCTAGCTTTCAAATGGCTTATGGATAAATATTTTATGAATTACTCCATTACAATAATGGATGTTAGTTTAACTGCCATATAATTTAACAGGGCTTGGCTGTTATGTTAGTACTGACCAATGCTTTCTTTTTTTTCTGTCTAGGACAATGAAAAGTTAACATTACCAGGTCAGGGGAAAAAAAACTCAGTTAATCCCCTAGACTTGGTGAAGAACTCACCAGCTCGAGGAGTTATTATCCTCATAACATTTTATTTCAACTTATTACACTTGAAACACTCAGGCAAAGCAAACAGAGCAACAGGAACAGAAACAGGAGGAGGAATCGGAGGAAGTCTCCAATCAGCACAGGGCAGAGAACATTAGACAGAACTGCAGAGTTCTCTGAATGATGAAGACACCCCAATCTTTGTTTGCACTTAACAGGCTGCTCAGGACAGAAGTTTTTGCTCCTGTCTTTCTAAGTGGAACTCCATGTCGAGCCATACAGCAAGGTAGAACACAAGTTCTCGTGCTTTCAAAACAAATGTGGCATCGTCTTCACACTTTTGGCTCTGACTTAACTAATTTTAAAACAAACAACCCCCAAAAAAACACTTTCTGCCCCAATCAAAATTTCCTCACATACCTCTCCTTTAACCACTGAGGATAGAAAACAGGATCCAGTCATTCTTTCCTCTGCTCTGCACTCTCATCTACCCCTTTAGTTCTTATTATCAATATTTCACACACACCATTTCTGAAGTGATTTCTTTTCAGCCCTTCATGTTTGTTACAAGATAAGACTGAACAACTTAGAATAATGTGAACATGTACATTTCTTTCACTAGACACTGGATTGGGCCTGTCCCTCAAAGTTTAATCCTCATTCTAGACTGCAGTATTTCAGGATTATTCGGTTGTTCAGGACACAGAAATCAGGAGATGAAGGACAGAAGCAGCACAGGATGGTGAGACCACATGCTAGACAAACTGATGTGGACACAGACCTCAATTATATTGATACATGGAAGCATGAACACTCCATAGTGAGACCTAGTAAGGCAATTTTATTTTCAAAATTAAGTTCCTTCCCTTCCTCGAAGCTATTCTAATTGTTAGCTGTAATTGTCTACTCTGGCATGTATTACACCTTCCTTTTGGTAAGCCACCCCCAAACACTGTCTGCCAGTGGAAGAATATTAAGTAGATGATCTTGTGCTTTTCTCAACACAGATTAAACTATGCCATGAAAAACATGCAAAACAAACATTATTACTTAACCTCAGCTGCAGCAACCCTAGTTTTACTAAAAACCTGTGGAAATCAAAGCAAGAGACAGAGGTGATTTTTAAATTGAGAATCCCTGTGAAGTCACACGTTACTCCTAATTTCTGTGACTATTTGATGCATATTTCAGTAATTTCTCTGACCTTCCTGCTAGGCTGATTTGTAGCAAAGCCTCACCAAGTTAAACACTGTCAAAATATACTTCTACTAAATGGCAACTAAAGCCTTCAAATGTGACCAACAACAAAACTGTAAAAGAAATATCCCTGGATGTGCCTGACATGCAAACACAGCATCACTAACCTGACAATAAAACACTGTTAATTCACTTGCACAGTATAAAATGTCAGCTGCAAATAAAAATCTAAACACCTCAGATATGGAAAGGAAAAGAGTTTAAATGAGCTAATGACATTATCAGTGATCCAAAGAATTCTGCATGCAGAATTTGGTGTTTAAACTGTCATTGTCCTTGAGTTGTTGAAACCTCAGAGCATTTACTGAGCATCTTGATAGTTCATACACCTCCAATCCACTTGTCTCACTGCTCCTGTACAGGTCTTACCCTCCCACGCTGATATTCCCCTGGCATGAAGACATTCCCCAAACCTCCAAGGGAAATGCAGTGCTGCTTATGCAATGCTTATTCCCCATCATTTTGCATTCCTGGCTCTTGAGGCTGCTCAGATACTCATTTCATTTGTCTTTCACCCTTTTTGTATACTTCTATTTCAATCCAACATAAAGTTTAGTTAGTTTATATTATATGCTGAAATGAAAAATTTATGATAGTAATTTGTAGCCCTAAGGAGTAGATGTTATCAATAAGTTAAAATACCTTCAGCTTTGCCTCAGGATGTTCACATGCCTGAAGCATTCTGTCTCCTCATGATAATACAGTGTTTGCTTCAGTCAAATTTCTTAAAATGACTCTTAAAAAATTTCCACTTTCATGCATTTTAAAAGAAAATATATATTTTCAGTAGTTTCTTACAGCCATGCACTTATGAACGTTTCAAAGCAACACACAAATTCATATAAGTTACTACTTCCGAGACTGTCACAAGAAAAAATCCAGATAAAATATGTTTTCAAAAGGTATTTTCCAAAATAAGATTCAAACAAGAGCAGCATTTAACCATGCTCTGGCTTGCAGAAATCACAGTCCAAAACAGACAGCTGTAAGAATTAAACCAACTTGACTAGCTTTGAGTTCAACAGTGCCAACTGCAACACCAAGTGCTGAGAAAAAGGCAAAAAAAATCACGTGTCCTTGTTTTGGACAACAGGAAAAATCGTGCTGAGAAAAAGGCAAAAAAAATCACATGTCCTGGTTTTGGACAACAGGAAAAATTATGGATTACATGTCCTGGATGCTGCAATAGCCCCAAGGTGGTGATATCTTAATGACAGAATAGAACTAATCCATTTCTGGACAGATTTATCTGTCAAGGAACAGCATCTCTTACCAGGAAGCTACTTTTTTGACTCAAGTACAACTAACACTTTTGAAAAGCAAGTCTGGTTCTAGTTAAGTCTCCACTATTAGCAGATACCTTCATAGTAACCTAGCAGCAAATTCTCCTCTCCTAGAGGTTACAAAATTTGACAAATATGCTGATGAAGAGTGTCAAAAGGAAAACTTGTGTTGGGAAATTTTACTAGAAAAGACACTTTTACACAACAAAGAGTTGCAAAATTCTTTCTGCAGTATGATAAAATTTTTAAAACCAGACCTAGTTGCAGTGGAGAACTTATGTTTCAGAAGGGAAAACTATTAGCAGAATTTAGACATGACAATTATTTAGCTTCTAACTTTGCTTCAAAAATTTATGATTGAATTGTATCTTTCATTCAGGTATCTCATCCAAGAAATACTTTTTCCTAGAACTACAGATAACTTAAGAAATGCAGTGTCCAAAAACATTTTTCCCCTTGTCACAAATAAATATCACCCCTCATAACAAATATAAAGGGAACATATTTACTTGCAGATTATTAACAGCCAAACAATGAATATTTATTTTTTTAGAGATGCTGACTATACCTAAGTGCTACAAATATTTCAGCACTGAAGCAAAAAAAAAAAAAAAAAAGAAAAGGTAATTAGCAATAAAGCCATTTTCAACTAACAGGAAGTCAGAAATGCCAGAACTGTAAAGTTTATAACTCTCTGAATTTGACATGGATTTCTTTCAAGACTACAAAAATTTTCTGCAGCACTGTATGATAAAAAAAAAGAAAATGGAGAAAGAATTGCCACAAAGATGCACACACTAAGTTTTCAGAAAGCAGACTCAATAGCTAAGCCTCAGAAAGCACTTCATGATTTCAGAGTTGAATTCTCAATTAAAGTTTGCATATTTATCCTCTGCATAATGTACCTAATATGAAAGCCAAATTTTGGAGAACTGTTTGCATCCCGTTCAACAACTAGGTGATGTGTATTTTCCTTTCCTACCAACAAGCACAAAAAGGCTTAGGGGTCTTGGATTATACTGGAAGGCCAGGAAAAACAGAAGGGACATTCTCATCTCGACAAAGCATTTCTTGGAAGTATTTTACTTCCTCAGTTAAGGCACTCAGGCACAAAAGCAAAGGAAATGTCTGAGTACTTGATTTAACCTTTTTATTCTGAAAACAAATGAGAGTTAAGACAACTTTTTTAGATATATTAAACATTTCCCTTTCTTATCAGTCAATTTCTGCCTTCACCTGCCACTGCTGATTACTCTTTAGCTGAAGCAGCAACTTTTGCTTAAACGAAATGCATTGATAGATGCTGTTTAACTCATGCAAATGAGCAAAGAAGCAAGAAATGATATCTTAAGAAGGCAGAGAACATAGCTGTTACACAAAGAAGAATCCCTGCAAATTTGCTATTTTAATGACCTACAGCAGAGTCATATTTTCAGCTCAATGGAATATGCACATCCAACCCCCCTGTTTTCCAACAGGGCTAATGTTTTAAATCATTTTTATGAAAATATTTGCATTTACATTGGACTCCAGTGATTACTTGGCTCATACCACGTAAGCAGGCAATCAGTTTATTGCTGCAGCCACTCCAGTACTGATGGCTCATCTGCACAGAGAACCACCACAAGCATTTGCCTGGCGAGACAGAGTTTGGACAGCTCAGTTCTACAGGAGTGTTTTACAAGTGGAGCAGAAAGCAAAGCACTGCACCCCCTGGAAGAAGCCTTATAGCCACAGGCAGTTTGGAATATGCAGACTCAACATATTGAAATGGACTTGTGCTGCTATATCTAATATCTCTTACTGGTTTAGCTGTTTGGGGTTTTTTTTCTACATCACAACAATCATATCCTCTATAATAAATGAAAGCCATTTCTTGCCTTTTAATAAGGTTTCAAATACTCAGTGAAACTACTGTGCAGCAGCTCTGCAAACAGAGCTTATCAAAACACTTCTGTATGTTTAGCACTGACCTGCTAAATCCAGAAACAGAGATGGCTCCCCTGTTTCCAGTCCAAGATAAATTCAGCCACTGGATGAGAGTGCAGCGAGACTGTAGGTATTCCAGAGATGTGTCATTAATCCTTGCCCAGTAAGGTTGTAAACTGAGATGAATGTACTGCAGAGGATCACAGCAATGTTGATATAGTAGCTTACAAGTTTGTGCTAGTCTACACAGGTCTGGTACTGTAAGGTGACTCAAAATCAACTGGATGAGCTATATTAGAAACAGAAAAAAAAAAGTCACAGATGGTCATACAGTACTTGAAATGTTAAGGGAAAACCAGCAAAAGAATAAGGAAAGATGTTCTAATTTAAAAGAAAAGTAAACCCTTTCACTTAGAGTAACTTCTCAAATAAATCATTGATTAACTATTAAGCAGGACTGCACTGCCTTCTCCATTTGACAACATACTGAACAAGAAAGGAAAAAGCAGATCAGCATCTGAAAGTGACAGGAAGCTTTCAAATCAGAAGTTTCTTTACTCATGCTACTTTAAACAGTGATATATATGTAAACATTATGTTTACATATTTCCCTCCACAATGTCTGTCCTGACGCTGCTCAGAACACAGAACTGACATCCCTTCTTCTCTGGAATTTGATTTTAAGATGGTAACACATTCGCAAAGTACATGGAAAAACCATACCATGTCCCAGTTTCCTCACACCTTGAGCAGATCTCAGATTTATTCCTCTTCTCTCTGCTTTAAAAATCAGTGTTTTGTCTTCTATCTTACACCCTCCCTTCTGGACTGTGCAACCAGGTAAAACATTCAACACACTCAGGTCTTTTTTAACACATTTTCTTCCTTGCTGTAATAGTGTGAGAGCATTTTTGTTCTATGCCAGAATCAAACCTGAAAGGCAAAATCCCTTTTTACCTGGATCAGTTGAACCACCTCAGCTTCAGAACAGTCACCAGCCCTTCTGATTAGCACCAATATAAATGTTTTCACAGTCATAGAATCATCAAGGTTGGAGGAGACCTCTAAGATCATCCAACCATTAACCTGTCACTCTGCTGGAACCCCTAAACCAGATCCTCCAGTGTCAGATCCAGATGTCTCTTCAACACTTCCAGGGATGGTGACTCCATCACCTCCCTGGGCAATATTCCAGTGCCTGAACACCCTAACAGGGAAAACATTTCTCCTGACATCTCATCTGACTCAGCTCAAGGCCATTCCCTCTAGTCCTCTCCCTGCAGCCCTGGCAGGACAGACATCCCCCACCTCTCTCCAACCCTGTCAGGGAGTTGGAGAGAGCCATGAGGTCACCCCTCAGTCTCTTCTCAAGGCTAAACTGACTTATCTCACACTCAGAAACTAAGAAATATCCCTCCTCTCCTGTTATGCTGTTTTCCTTTCTAAACAAAGATCAACACACACAGAGACATAAATACTCACTTTAGGAAATAAGAGAAACATCCCCCCCAAAAAATAACACAAAAAATATCCTTTAGTTTGGAGCTGAGAGAAAATGCACTGGAAAATGGAATCTAAAAATCAATGTTTACTTTATCAGGGCTGTCTTTAACAGATCTAAGAACCTGGAATCTAAAAATCAATGTTTACTTTACCAGGGTTGTCTTTAACAGATCTAAGTACGTGCACTCAAGTTATGTAACTAAAAGTGACTGTTTTCAAGCAGAGTGGGAAACAATTACCCTGTTGAAATGAATCAGTGCAAATTAAAAAAACATAACAACCCACAAATCAATGTAAACTGAAGAGAATCCTGTGGTCCTTCCAAAATACGAACATGTTTCATTTCAGTATCTTTGCAGGATTCGTAAGACAAATCCACAAAAAAAAAAAAAAAAGGGAAAAAAATCAGAATAAAATGCTTGACATAAAGTGAAAATGGAGCTTTATGTGAGATCCAAACAGATTGTACTTCCAATGCACAGTGTATTATGCAGCTACCTTCCACCTCCCCTCCTCCGCCCCTTCGTTTTTGGAAGGGAAGGAATAAGAAAACAATTCAACTTCCTGCAAAATAGAAAATGTTACTTCCTACTCAGCTCCAGATTTAGTATTTGGATTTCAAACATCATCTACGACTCTTAAAAAAAAATTTGACTTCAGCTCTAATGCCAAAATGAAGTGTTTGATATACTCCAGTTTCCCTCAAGCTTCATTTCAAGCCTTCCCTCTTGCCTTCTGCTTGCTCCTCCTTTCCCCTAAAAACAGCCCAGGGTTTTTTTGTCTCTGCAGGTGTCTGGAACTGTTAGACTGATACACAGGACCTGTGCAGACATTTCAATGTAACAGCAATATACATATACAAAATATATATGCACAGATAATAACTGCAGCTAATATATTACAACTAACAAAGTCTGCACCCAACATTTAGGTTGTTGACATCTGAAATCTGAGAAAGAGCAAAATAACTAGGAGTTAACACTGATATATGCCCAAGTTAGTACCTTGATTTTTGCTTGGCTGAGACTCACAAGCATAAAAGTTGCTGAACACAGCTTTGTTTGCCATTCTAACAGCAGATACCTAAACACATACCTATTTTTTTAAGGCCACCAGTTCACTTTAATAATTTTCAATATTCTGAAGGACAGCTTCAAACTACCCTGCAATCTTTCAGCTATTTCACACTCTGCAAGCCACCTAAATATCTATTTTGTTAATGCCTTTCCCCTCAGATTCGTTTCTGATGCTTGTTTAATAAGTTTTCTAGAGCCAAATGCTCAGCAGCAAAGGCTGCACAGTTAGCTGAATTTATGTCTACAATTAGTATGGCACTGTTGGGAAATATTTTTTCCCTGTCAGGGTGTTCAGACACTGGAACAGGTTGCCCAGGGAGGTGGTGGAGTCACCATCCCTTAAGTGTTTCAAAGTCATCTGGATCTGACACTGGATTAGCTGGTTTAGGGTTTAAGGGTTCCAGCAGTGACAGGTTAATGGTTGGACTCGATGATCTTAGAGATCTTCTCCAACCTTGATAATTCTATTATTCTATTCTGTGATTATTATGTCAAAATAAAGCAAAGTAACACACATTTTGCTCATGAGAAAACAGTTACTTTAACTTCTGAGCAATAAGGGGAGCAAAACTATAAAATTTCTCAACAATGTCCCTTACACCAACTGACAACGTCAGTGAGTATTTCATAACGTACAGGATGTAGCAATCTTTCCACATGTGAAACAAAATTTCTTACCATGTAAATGTCTTAATTAGGAAAAATAACCATTTTTAAGTGAAATTATGCTGCTTCATAATATCTGGAGTGAGAACATATAACAAAATGTTACTACTATGATATTACATAGTAAAGTGCTTTTTTTCTAGCTTTGATTAAACAAAGATTAGGAGTTCCGGACACACAGGTTAATAACAATTAATCACTGTTAGTCTGGAGTCTGGTGCCTGTCAGGAATCTGCTTTTTATGTATGTGTATCCTAGCATAAAGTATAATTTGATACCATAATGAGCATGTGACATGACGTGCTGCATTGTGCAATGCATTGTGCTATGTGTTTATAGTGATTCCAAGAATGCTACAGGACTGAGCTTTGAAAATTAATTCCAAAACGCAGTGTCTGACAATCCACCCTTTATACTCTGCTTTTAGGGAAAATTATGGCAATCATTTTTGTTTCACACTTGCTTATAAATCATAGAGCCACAGAACCATCAAGGTTGGAGGAGACCTCTACGATCATCGAGTCCAATCATTAATCTGCCACTCTGCTGGAACCCCTAAACCAGATCCTCCAGTGTCACATCCAGACACCTCTGGAACACTTCCAGGGATGGTGACTCCACCACCTCCCTGGGCAATCTATTCCAGTGCCTGAACACCCTAACAGGGAAAACATTTCTCCCAACATCTATTTGACTCTCCCCTGTCTCAAATTATGACTGAAATCAATCCGTAAAAACAAACATTATTGGAAAAAAAAACCAATAGAAAAAAGTGTAACTAGGAAAGCAAAATATAACTTACACTACACTGATTGCTATTTTAGGCTATGATGGACCAAAAGTACCTTCTCTCCCATTTCCAGGGCAAACATGCCACCCTTAAACCTGTGGTGAGATCAATGGCCACTACAAGAAAAAGCTCCAAAAACCAGAAGTTCCCAAATCATTGTGTGCTGAGCACAATAACGATCCTGATTCATACCCAATCCATGTGTGTTTTACCATCACCATATTCCCTGATTGCAGCATCTCACATATATGCTCATTTTTTGAATTATCAATTAAAAAATACAACATCTTGGGAATAAAAACACAAGACATCTCACCCACTGCAAAGTTTTCTTATGAGCTCAGACAGGATCTCCGTACATGGGGTAAAATTTTACTGATGGTGCAGCTCCTAATATACTTAGTGAATCAGAAGTTTCAATAGCTTTTTAAAGCTTTTGAATAACAGCAAACAACAACCATTTGTGCCCAGGAAAATACTTCGTGTGGCTAGAAAACTTCATTTCGGCAGACAAAAATGTCTGGATGCTGGTCAAACCTAGAGTACCTGCACTTCCTACAAATCTTTTTCAGCTCCTTACAGAATCATAGAATTTCAGGGGTTGGAATGGACCTTAGAGATCATCTAGTCCCAACCCCTGCCATGGGCAGGGACACCTCCCACCAGAGCAGGTTGCTCAAGGCTCATTCAACCTGGTTTTAAACACTGCCAGGGTTGGGGCAGCCACAGCCTCCCTGGGCAACCTGTGCCAGTGTCTCACCACTCTCACAGGAAAACATTTTCCTAATATCTAACCTAAACTACCCCTCTTTCAAATTGCACCCATTGCCCCTTGTCCTGTCACTGCAGCTCCTAAAGAAGAGTCCTTCTCCAGTTCCCCCTGTAGCCCCTTCAGACACTGATAGGCTACTGTGAGGTCTCCACACAACCTACTCTTCTCCAGACTGAACATTTAGCAGGAAGATGAAATTATTTTCCAACACAAAAATACACTACACTATGCAAACCATTCATTCAGAAACACAAAAATGAATGATTTGCAATTTTTTCATTCTGCAGCTAGAGCTGTCAGAGCTTAGACTCCAATTAATTAGAACTGAAGCTAAAACATGCTTGGATGAAGGACAAAGATATGTGCACAAAAAGGCAGAGAAGGCAGGAAGGAGAAGATCAGATTCTAGAGGTTTTAACATTTCTCAACATAGTTTAAGAAAGGACACATCCTTGGTTCCACAATCCCGTGGCTAAGACACCAGTCAATGCACACACATTTAACAGCACACGTGACAAGTGGATCTTCCAACTACACAACTATTTTCTATTTTCTTTCTTCTACTCACATAACATGCTTTGGTGGAGTTGGTTTTACATCACCAGGCTACAGGCTCTGATCCTTGCAGCAATGGAAGGCTGTAAAGGTTTTAAGCTGCTTCTTGATTTCAAGAGCAGAACAGGATTTTACTGACAGACTGCACAATCAAATCCTGGAGGTTCCAGGAGGACTAAAGCTGGAGAGATCCTCTTCCATGTGCCCTTGCTCAGTCTAGTCTGCTATAACAACTGGCACTAGATTGGCTATTAACTGAAAGGAATCTTGTGCCATATGGTCATTAGCTGTCAGTTTAACTTTTATAAACCTCCTGAGTTTCTCTTTGAAAGAGAGACATAGTCTTGCTGATTATCTGAAAGCCTACAATTATTTGTTCTGGAAAGATGCAAGGAGTTTATTGTTGAGGGGAAAAAAGTGTATTACACTTAAAAAAGTTCCTGCTTATTGCTCTGATTCTTCTATTTAAGTACCATTTAAGGGATGCAGATCTTACTTTCAAGACCCATTTCCTGGAACATAGGTGCCAAATCCATATTTAACGGTGAAATTCACTTCCCCAGTAGACGTGAACAGCTCATATATCCTGTAGGCAGCTTTTGGAAAAACTGGCTTCAAGGATGACAAATATGTCATTTATATCTTTTTACATCAAAATTTTTATAAAAAAAAATGTTTTGGACTGCAGCACACAGGATTTCTCCTGGCTCTCCTCTCTGGAGAGCAAAACCTGGCTAGCACAACTTGGTGAGTCTCAAACTGCACAACATGGGAGGTATTCCTTACCTTTCCCAAAGGCTTTGAATTTG